CTGTATAGAGAATCCTATGTAGTCGCAGGACCCCTTATTGGCCTGCTATAGAGCTCTGCTAGGCAAAACAACTATATCTGGTTGAAGAACGAAGCGCAACATTACTGGACAGAAACGGAAGGTAACAGACAGGCTAAGTCCTACATTTTGGGTGTATCAAAAAGGAGAACCTACGAACTCCTTCTCCTCCTCCTCTAAATCCATTCTAATATAATCTTACTAGGTTTTAATCTCATTTAAATAGTAGCAAATTTTCGCGACTAGCAAACAAAATCAATTAGGTGGCAACATTGCAAATAAGACAAATGAACTTTTTCAAAGTGAAAATAATTTCCATATGGAACAAAATATATGTATGTATGTACATAAGTCTTATGTATGTGCCTAAGTGAAAATAAAAATCATTGCCATTACAATTTTAATGTATTTTAAAACAGACGTGTGCCATTGAATTTAATTTTTCATTTACATATTTCTTTCTTAAAACAATAGAACAGAAATCTAGTTCATTGACGTGTTGTTTCTAGTATAAAAACCCAAGATTGACTGCGCCTTTTTGGCAGANCAGACGTGTGCCATTGAATTTAATTTTTCATTTACATATTTCTTTCTTAAAACAATAGAACAGAAATCTAGTTCATTGACGTGTTGTTTCTAGTATAAAAACCCAAGATTGACTGCGCCTTTTTGGCAGACGTCAAAATGATATACATATACTCATTTTCCGTTGCCTTTTACGCGTATGCGTAATTTTATTGAAATATTGTTTGCATATTGATTTCATTGAACCTAATTCATAACATTTTAAGTAATTTTCTTTAGAATAATAAATAAACATCCGCAATAGTTTCCGATTCAGTTAGTATACTACGTACGTTTTCTTTGCAAAAATCTTGAATTAAAAATTTTAATTTCTGAATTTATTACGACGAATATGGATAAACCACAGAGAGATACAGTAAAACAGCAAAATTAATTTATTATGGCTTATAAATTATGAGTTTTATGTTACACATACATTAGTACATACTATGTCTGTGGCTTTTTCACTGGTACATTAATCAAAATATGCATAGATGAAATTATTCCAAAGTTTAGCCAAAATTTCAGAATAAATACTGGGGATGCACACCAAGGATCGTAAGATGGATGTACACTATGATAGTACGACCAATAGTAACCTATAGGTGAGTGGCTTTGGCATATACATAGGCTCACTCTGGTAAGGTGATCCATCACCAAAATTGCTTGCTATGTGCAAATGTCCGACGGCAGCGCTGGAGCTAATTTTTCGCGAGAGAAGACTTTGGTAAAGGTAGGGTTTTATCCTCTAGCAACAAGGACAATCTAGGGTCCCAGCTCCCGCTAGTTCTGTTCCTAGTAGTAGTTGTCGAAAGAAGGTTTGGTTTTTGACCTTGAGTACCTCTATTATGGAGAGACACGTCCAGGCAAGCAGACTACTGTGGTCCTCAGGTGGCTCTAAGCCCCCCTGACGACATTGGAGCAGACATATATGGCCCTGGACTGAAGCTTTCAGTACCCTTGGGTACTTTCCCAAGCATCTTCCAAGCGGAAATTTACGCCATTAGTCTGTGTGCAACCTCTGGTAGGAATTACCGAAATGAGAAAATCCTGATGGTTATTAAGTGATAGTCAGGCGGAACTTATGACTCTCTCATTCTTCAAAGTCAACTTCTCATTGTTCTTAGAGTGTATAGAGAACCTTAATTTCCTGGCTAAGAACAATGCTATCTAACTTATATAGGTGCTAGGGCTCATGGGAATTAAAGGAAATGGGAAGTCGATCAGTTAGCCAGAATGGCTGCTTCTTTGATCCCGATAGGACCTGAGCCCAGCCTTCTCAGAAAGGGGAATACAAATTGAGGGCACTACATTGGCGTAACAGCATGGGGATTCGCCAAGCTGAGAGCTTACAAGGGGGTTACAAAGAGGGAATTACATAAGCTAGAGATCAGAGAAGCCGGCTCACGAAGAAGGGCGAGGTATATAGGACATCTATGGTCAAGGCAAGCGCACATACACTCCCTACACCCGGTTTATATCATAATATTCTCAAATTTATAGAGCCTTTAGGGCTAGATGCAGTACTGTAATGAGCCGAGGGCACAATAAACCTACTCGTCACTGTGCTTACTCTATTTATATCGATCTAACTATCCACCTAGGCCACCGTGAGCTGATTATGATCGCATAAATGAGACTACTTGCATTCCTCTATTTACCCTAGAAATAAAACCAGTTCCTTGATCTGATGAAGCGCACAAAATCATTACTACTGCCAGGATCCAGTTCAGGCAGACACTCAAAAGAATAATTGAGGAACGAACGTCGACGAGTCCTCGCCAGTGCGGGATTGTTTCAGATCGAATGAAACCAACTTTTTTTCTTTCGCAGTGTACTCAACCACAAACAGTTTCAGTCGTAAACAAACTTTTTACAAACTGGATTTAGGCATTTGTACTGATAAAACGTTGTACCTTCTGACCTTTGTGGAATATAAAAGGTTAAAGACCAGACTTTGAGGAAGCATATAGCGTAAGCTTATACAGAAATCGATTAATTTGGAGCTAAGCAAAACTGCTCTGTTTTGTCTAGTTGGTAAATATGAATTCAAAATGCAAACTGCTAAGGAATGCCTGACCCCTCTATCAACAGCGCCGAAGTACTTCCTAATCAAGCTAATTTAGGTACTGACATTGCGGAAAGGCACCCTTGAAGCGTTATCACCGGGTATGGAGCAGTTGGAAACACCTCTATCCTCCTGCGGTTCACTCATGGACATTTCAACCTCATTTAAGCTCAGCGAGCGCTGGACCAGAACTAGAACCAGAAGTTCCGAGTTGCCATAATCAGGTTTTTATGCTTGTAAAGTTTCATCTCTCGCTTTTGGTGGCGGTAGGTCATTGTGCGACTAGTATTCACACAGTAAAGTTGCGAATCTTACCTCATTCCTTTTGTATAAGATGACAAGAGGATGATGAGGTGGAATCATCTCAGCACTTTCATCCCGTATTAGTCGCTTTTTTGCAGCGTATATACTAATATAGACATGCACGCTCATACAATTTGTATCATGGTATCTACTCAAAAGTGAGTACAAAAGCAATACCGGCTGATTACTTTAAAATGTTTACATATGCTAGGTTTTGTTTTCAAGATAGATACACACATTTTTTCTCTTGCTCTTGTTGTTTTTCATTTGCTTAGTAAACATCATCATCAGATTTTGTTGCTACGCATTCTAAGGAATTATTTTTCAGTTTAGCAAATAAAATAAACATAATAATGATGTTTGGAATGAAAATAAACGCATTGATAATCGGGCAGATGATCATATTCAAGAGAGATAATGAAGTTAAGGTGAGCGATTATGATGATGAAACTTACATGAGCTATAAAAATGCCTAAAAAGAAGAACATTTGTTTGCCTGTCCTTGCTGAACACTTGGTCACTTACGAGATATACAACAGCTGCCATGTAATGCAGCGAAAATTGGGTTCTGGATTTGTGGTGGTAAATAGACCTCGCCGCCGAGCATTGTACATAGGTAGTTCATCTTACCACAACCCGCAACAAGTCTAACAGTAGGGAAGGATCTTTTCGATGATCATTTGGAGCGCACCTACGAATGCTGCCACGATATCAAAATCGTGTTAGGCGAATTCAGTGCTAGGTTGGACGAGTGAGTTCTATTTGGTTCCAGCGTCGAAAATTTGGCATCCGTTAACGGACTGACGCTGACCGTCTTCGCCAACACTAGGCTTGAGCATAAAAGAATAAACCAGGTAGTGCGGCTGACTCTAGATCGAATGATTATAAACCAAATCGAACATCTTATGATAGACGGAAGGCAAGCCCCTAGTGCTTGATATGTACAAATATGTAAGATTCGAGGGGCAACCATTGACCCGGATCACTATCTCATTGTAGCTTGAAAACAATCTAGTTTTTATATTGCCAAATATTTAGTATATTAATTTAACTTTTATATCTTCTTGAAATTCTCAGGTAGCGTTTTATTATTTCTGATAAGATTCTTATTAAAAAGTGCTCTTATCATTTGTGCAGAAGCAGAATATGCAAATGTTTTAACCAGGTCAGCATGAGCAATTATGACCGCTTTAACCCAGACACGTTTTGTTTACTTGGCATAATCTGACTATGGAGCTACACCGGTTTTTATTTCTAAAGTTTTATCATCCCCTCAAATGCTAAAAAGTACTCATCTGAGCACGCAGACAGATCATGATTTAATAGCATGATCATGATCGCCCCAAAAAAAAGGAAGTAAACTTTTATGTCATCATCAGAAATCAAATATATTTTCATAAACAATTGAGTATCAACAAAACATTTTTTTTGTTCATATTTATGTATGTATGTACACATCCGAAAGTTTTCAACAAAATTCGCAACAGTCAATATTTATGTTCTGCCATGGTATCTCACTCCCTTGCGCTGACTTTTTCTCTCCTCCTAGGTTGGAGACTGCAATGTTTTGGAATTTTCGAGTTCATTTTTAGGGGATTTCCTTTACAAACCTAAATACATGCATACATATGTTTATATATAAATATGTACATACATATGCATATTTGTTTACAATTTTTAACAGCCTTGTTGTTGTTTTCAACATTTTCAAAAATCTCATTTGTTTGGTATTTTT